CGAGGTTCACCAGAGTGCACTGAGGTCGAGTGACGCGCTACGCGTTGCAGCATTGTAGGCGAAACCCGAATACTGATCGCATCACAGATGGAACTCCAGTGGTTGCGATCGTCTAGCAAGTTGGCTTTTTACGGTGCCAGAGTTGGACTCGGGAACATTGGTGCACAAGAGAGCTAACGCAGCGTGGTTTTGTCTAGCGAGTGTCGACTTTAAAGTTGTTGCCGGCAATTCGGGTTGTTTAGAAGGCACCACTGATGTTGCAGCAAGTAAGTCAGGCCAAAGACAAGCGGAAACCGGCAAAGCGAGAAAACGGCGGCAGTCGCGTGACTAAAGGTGCGTGAATACCGCTTATTGCTTTGAAAAACGGTGAAAGCTTAGCGGTCACAGCGATTTGTGCATTCAGTGCCAGTAAAGATACAGAATCGGACAAATCACCCAAGGCAACCGAAGTAGCACCGTGGTGTACTGTCTCAATGAAGCTCAAATGCTATTTTACGCTAGTGAGAAACTAAGAGATGGCAACCGGCAGGAAAGCAAATAGTAGACTTTTAATCAGATGGGATAGCCGGATGGGCAGTCTACGCACAGATAGTAGCATGATTCGTGGTTTACGCACAAAGCTAACTTGGTTGAATATGGCAAAAATGTAGACAAACAGTCTGGATACAAGTGTGAACAATGCCCTGGATGTAGTGCCGCATGAGAGATGTTTGATGCGCGCGAAAAACGACGTTAGACCCATCTGAACAACACTTAAGCGATGGTCATGTTCCCGTCACCCTATGACTAGACACTTGATCGAAAGGTTTCCACTGAGGACTATAATCTACAGGTATACGCGTTCTTCCAACTACATCCGAATACACTGTATAACGCTGAGATTGGAGTACTCGTTTTGTGCTTGTCTCATGATGCGAAAAGTGAAATCGAACGATGAATTCCTCTGAAACAAACTTCAGACAGTTTGATCACCGGGAGTGCAAATAGACACCGGGTGTTGCCCTTCTCCAAAACTGCCTACGATAACTGCTTTTCAGCCGCATGTTGCTGTGCCATTGCGGAGAAAAGACACTGCAATAGTTCGAACAACGACACCCTAACCGTTGTATCCCAAATGTCGTCCGTGAAGCTAGGAGACGTGGCGGCGAAGATAGTTTCCGGCAGTAAATGTGTCACATGTTCGGTTTCCAGTGGGAAGCAGCGACACCAAAACGCTCCAAGCAGGGACGAAACCGGGAGTGGTGTTCGGCGTCGGCAGCGAGCAGTAAGCCCCTGAGAAATTGAGGTTTATCATGGTGGCGCACTTCTCTGTGGCGTAGAAAGTTGGGTGAGATGGAAGATGGAGAAAAACAGTTGAGCAGCGATAAAAATGTTACAAGAATATAATGCAAAGCAGCAGAGAGATTCATGAAATATGTTGAGATCGCCTGTCCGTGGCCTGAAAGATCACAAGTATCCCTTGTAATCTGACGTCGCGGATTCGAGCCTGCGTAGGGGACCGGCCGACCCACGCAGCACCCTTAGCTCACGCGCAACTGGTGGTCATCATCAGCAATACACGCTAGCTGAGGGTGAGAAACACACCTCAACTAATGTGCCGCAATACAGAGATACGAGACTAAACAGTACAGACTACAAAACCAAATATGATATTGTGCATTGGTAATGAGATCGTTGTTTGAGGAGGAAGCTAAAGTGGAGGAATAAAGAGACCCACAACACCAATACCATTGAGGTCAGCAAACGTATCCAACCACACGTCTTCATAGCCCTTCGGGCCCCAGCCCGACAGTCGGATGTAACAACCGACGCCAAGTCCAAAGTGATGGACTTCATTCCCCTTGACTATGTCATCGAGTGGCCTACCCTCTTCCTCTTCCATTCAGACCCAAAGCGGGCAAACAACGCACGTCGCGGAAGTCGGCGTGCTGGCATGCGCAACACGTGGCCCAGCCATCGGAGCCTGGTGCGTGAAATAACGGCACAGGGCAGTTCACTTCATATTCATGCAACAAATACGCAAGACCGGAAACATTCATGGCTCACGCGATATTCCCACCAAACAAGAGCTAAGCTACGAAGACACTGATGTTCGAAGATAACAAGCCACTTTATGTTTGTCGACATGATGGGTCAGAAGACACAACCAAGACCGAGTGACCTCTTATCATTGACCTGTCTAACCTACGTAAAGGCATCACCAGTACGCAGTAAATACGCTTTGTCGCCGCACAACCGCCCCTGACCGTAAGTGGGCTAAGATACTGCGACGGTCACCCTGCAGCTACGCAGGCTCGAACCCGCATCGTCAGCTTATAAGACAAGCTTGTTACCTTTAGGCTACGTAGTCCTGAAGGCACATTGAAAGTGCCACCCAAGGTAACCAATGGGTCCACTGAGGTACGCAAAACATCGCGTCACATTATGGCGGGACAGCCTCAATGTTAGTTCTCATAGCTTAGAGGCGCTTGAGGAATAAGAGGTTCCGTCGATAATTCAACGCATGGACTGGTACGAAAAGGTGATATAAGAAGAATGACCAGATTTGATACGTGACTCGTATTGACCAAATGAGCCATAAACAAATATCCCGAAGAAGGATGCACACACCTATGGTATGGGGCCTACCCTATCCTCTGCACGGCACTAATGTACAATTCAGTGGACAGTGAGCGGTGCTATATCACATCTGGTAACTTAGTCATGACGATTGTTGCTGTCCTCCGTAGCTTAGTGGACTCAACCACAGACTGGCAACAATCGAGTTGTGGGTTCGATCTCCACAGAGGTCAGATGGAATGCGCCCCGTTGATGATTCCCGAAATAATGAAAAGGCCGTACACTGCCTTGTCGGGGGCATGATGGTTGTTTGACTGAGTATAGAGGTGAGAAACTCTTACTTACTCCATTCAACTCCCCCTACTACTGCTCGTAACAAAAAACTGGGTATCGCGCGAAAATAAGGCGTCCTCAAAGAGCTTTCCTGTTTCTTTTAATGTCTGCGTCACAATTCGCTATACCTCACAGATAACTCAGTAGTAGGTGCAGTTTAAAAAAGCGATCCGATTAGGAGACGATAGCATCTGTATCACAGACGTTGTGTGCAAGTAATGTCCTGTAATGCCACGAGACAAACACAGGGCAGGTCACGTGGACTGCGGCAGGCTCCAGTCGGTCGTCGGAGACTTTAGTTCCCACTGCCGAGTGAACTTTTCTTCTTCTCGAAACCTGTGTAATCTAGCATCCAGTAGACAAGGCAAGGTCCTCTTCGATAAGCTGGCATATCTATGACGGGTCCATGCCAGCAAAACGTATTCAGAGTTAACTATGCTCCAAGGAACTAACATGATCACCGCTGCCTAAATTCGGCGTGTATCACTGTTGCGGGCACACCGATGTTATCCGACACCAGCAGTGATAGTCAACGGCTGGAAAGCGCTTAAGCAGACCAAAGCGGAACTACTTTCCAGAGCAGCGCGTGTGCAAAGTAACAAGAAATCAGTGGGCATTTTTATGGCAATCCACCAACTGAGGTGCTTAACTTCTGTGCGTGACACATGCTAGTGGATTACACATATTGATTCTATGATGCCAACATATGGAAATTGACTATATGTCTTAGATTTATTACCTGTCCCAGACTTCCCAACAGTGGAAATATACTGCACTAAAAGGACAAAAGACTCTATTGTGGAAAGACGCAAGTGACATTCATTACTGGTGGACAATCAATCTGACTCAAGGTGATAAGGAAATCCGGTTAACTACTTGATATAAAAGGGGAAGTGACACCAAAAGATGATGGCGGAGCAGAAAAACGTCACAGTGAATTAGCCAGTCGATTAATCTTCAGAGACTCGTAGATAAGTATTTGTTTGTAGAGTAGACGTTCAGTCTGGAGTTGGGAAAGACTAAGTATCTGGTAAGTACTGAAGAACCAAGCAGCTGAAAAAGAGTCCGTAAATGGTTGAACTAGGACAAAGACAACCGTATCACAAAGATGAGATAAGACATGGACGCACCGACATAAGGCGTGGTGCTAAAACAATGGGAGACTCGCTTAATGAGTTGGCAAAATCCGGCGCCAGGTACATCTCGTGATGAGGTGATTGCAAGGTATAGAGATACAGTCATTATTAATTACAAAGTGGAAGATAACCACATCATTTACCCACGACTGGAGTTTAACTAACACCAATGATAGGCGGTAAACGAAAGTAATGTGGGATAAGTAGCTCAACGGCGCGGTCTCCGAGTCCTTGCTACAACTTAGAAGCGAAAGCATTCGAGAATCACACAACTAACCGAATCCGTTGTCAGCAAGCAATGATGATCTACAAAAATCCAAGGAGCAACTATTGGGAAAAAATGCATGGCTTTAATAATAATGCCTTAGTTGAAGCCCTAAACGTGTTGGCTAAGGGACGGGTAAAGATCGCGGGCGGACTTATTGCGATACAGACCAGAGAACGAGGCGCACGCGGCAGAATCCGTTTTCTAATGTGAACGCACCCTGAAAAACCCATCCCGTTACGTTACGATCCCCATAGCCTGCTAAAGCAACCAAACACTGGTGGTTGAGTAGAAACATTGTCCTAAGAAGATTGACTACCATGGTGCGTACAGACTCCTACATTCAAAAAAGGTAACTGCGCAAGTTCCCAAATCTCAATCTCAATCCTTTTCCTATGACCGAGTCCTCGGACACGGTGGCCAATATACCCCGCTTGGGAGCCAAAGTTGAGTAGGAAAATCGGTGGAACAGTAATGGGGCGGAAATCCAGATGATCGGAAAAATGTGAGCGAATATTCACACATAAAATGTAAGCACTGAGTGGCAGGTCTCGGAGGAATGAGAGAAATATCCGAGATATCGATAAAGACGCACGGGGGGAAAATGTCATCAAAAGACAGTATCACGGAATCGGAAGATAATTGCTTTTGACACACGGAAACATGAAGGTGTATATGAAACGTGTGTGTGGCTCGCCACATTGAAACTACAACCCAGGGGTGTAATCTATTGAACGACCACGAGCCGCGGGGCTCGAGAAAGCGGCCAACGATTGACACGAGGGAGAAGAGGGAACACGGTCGGAACATAAACTTTCCACGTCATAGGTGAGGCTCTTTACGGAGTGTTTCCTCCGTATGTTGGACGCGAGGGTGTGTATGTTTGACTCCGCCAAAGCGGCCGTGTACGTAAGCGCGGAGGGGCATTTTCCGTCTGCAGCGTGCATGGATGAGGGGCGAGGAATCTTGAACATACTTCGAAATTTCCTCGGATGATGTTTCTTCTCCGGTCCCGGAGGGGAAGGAGGTAGGAGACTGAGCAGAGTGACCAAAACCGTTGGATTCACCTGACCAGGAGCATATTTAGGCAACTGGAACGGTAAAATGAGATGACAATTAACATCTTTTTATGTAGCTGCATCGTTTAAACGTGGCGAAGGTAAAGGTGAGACTGCACAAAGGAGATTCGGCATCAAAAGATTGAAGTGGGACAACTATAAAGAAATCAGATAGTTACCTACACCAATAGCGGTTTCCATTACAAGTTTGAGCTCCCAGCATAAGCCCTGAGCTTGGTTGCTCATCAATGTATTCATACAATGCTGTAGAGGTCTTGGCGAAATCTAATTGCAGATAATTTATCATAATGGAAAAAGTGCATTGTGTGAAACCGAGAGTGCAGGTATTACTATTAACCACATTCTGTGACATATGACTATAGGCGCGGCATCAGTGCATATCGTGGTTCCTAATGAAAGTTTTTCTTACCAGACTACACCACACTGTTAATACACATCTGGAAAATCACCCGATGAGAGTTTCAAAGTTTCAGGCCATATCAGTAGTATGCACTCCCTTGACCAAGGGAGGGGGTTTGAATCAGCGTTTCAGTAGCTGCGTAAGTAGAATCTTGATCTTTTAGACCACAGTGACAGACCGCAGCTGAGATGACTATGTATGCACGCGCAGGTGGGGAAGACCACTTTCCCAGAAGCTGCATGATAATAATAATAATCATAATAATAATGTGTCAGCCGAACGCCGTAACAGCGCTTCGCTGCCGTGCGAGCACCACGTCGCACGTGGGCTGAGTATATCGCGAGGACACCACCCTTACGCGGACACGAACCCGTGCCGCAGGATTACGAGACAATCTCGTTACCTCTAGGCTACGGGCCGTGTAGAAGACGAGGTAGACCCCTGACCCTGAGTAATATGTCCCAGGTACACCAGGGCGAGTTCTGATGGAAAGGAATTGCAGTTCAGTGCAGCCACGCACGCGGACAGCCGCCTGGCCAAGTTTATTCCTGATAAAGTGATGATTACCGTCTTATTTCACCCATACATCCTTCATGCACAACGGATACCGAGACAGTTGCATCCAAAGATACCTAAACCGCACCTAAACCAACACGAACGAAAATGATCCCCTTACCATATGTATCAGAAATGACCGCCGACTCATCAAGCCGCACCACCGGATGGTAGCTGACATACTAATCGCCACTCTGAAGGGAGCCCTATCTATGTGGGCCAAGCAGAGGGAAAAGTATCTATAGGATTACAAGAGCACAAACTAGGTTGACGAAACCGTCATTCATCATCACTAGTCTTGGAGCAAGTTGATGAGGAAGGATACAAATCTGACTGGGACGAGAAAGAGGTTCTGGCGCAGGGTCAGATAAGAAAACGAAGGAAACTTCTCACAGCGTGTTTCTCTACGGAGAATTCAATAAACCTGCTCAATGACCTAGATGCGGTGCATTAACAACTTGGAAAGAAAGAGGCGGCGACCGAACAACAAACGAGAAATAGTCACGGGACATAAATCGAAGATGTTAACTTCAAACGTCACTTGCTGGTTGACCAAGGGCCGATGACCAGCTCAACGAAATTGTCCGCTACGCAGTAAAGCACTGACGAAGGCACCTTGACTGATGAGGAAACGTTTGCAGTAAAATCGGCCACCTTTGATGACAAGCCAAAACCGGAACACTTTTAAGTTGTCATTCGGTCACATGGTAGAACCCAGCTCCCAAGCGAAGAATTTAGGGGTAAAAATAACGAAAGCTGAGTTTGTCGATTGGGTAAAGCGCAGATAGGGGTTGTTCGCGAAAAGCCCAGTTCCAGTTGGAACAAATGCTGCGCGGAGGAGCGTGACCAGTTCATCAAAGATCGCATGGCATCAGTAGTGCTATGGCGATTGAATCCCATGGGTGGGACGGCCGCAATGAAACTGTAGCACTGAAGAGTCAGTGGAGCATAACAGACAGATGAAGGAGATGGACAGATGGATGGGATAGTTTAATGATTGATTCCAATAGCGATAACAGCAATTACGATAGGGTGAGTATCGGCCTGCCCAGCTTCGTATTCAATGAGTCAAATGCCGTACAACATTCGTGCACGCGAACGATGAAACTTTAAAATGTCCCACAATCGGTTCAGTTGAGCTCACAACAGTAAGCAGTGGAGCGAAACGGAGAATCAAGTGGAACGAAAAATTCGAAAATCAACCAGTTCCTCACGAAATGAGACGGCCACCCAAGGGGATCGGTTTAGCCGCATTGCGATCGTGCGCGAGAGAATGCGATATGCGACAAGTCACGAGAGCAGTGTGAGCCCAGGGTTGACTAAACCGTCTAATCTCTACTCTCTCTCCTATCACAGTAAGTCAAGTGAGCAAACGTAAATATGCTTTGGTTCTGATCGAACGGATGTCGTAAACGCACATCCATCAGTGTTTCGCGCACACAAATGAAACGGACTGGGGTTGTGCGTCGTCCTCAATCACAGGTGACAAAATGTTTCCGTGGAAATTCATTATGCAAACTTCACTCATTGATCTGTGCGCAAAGGGTGAGGTAGGGAAAGCAGTTGCAACGTGACTGGAGAGACGGAGCGGATGAAATTCGCTTGTGAAACGTTCCCGTACACAGGTGTGGTTGAGAGATGCATGCTGACTGGGAGATAGGTGAAAAAAATCGCACCTGCGATAATAATATGTTATGTTTAGGAGCTATGTGTGTTAACTGAGGAGAGGACAGGTGTTCGAGAAAGTTTTGCAATGGTAAATTGATGAATTGAATCGACTGCGAATCCATTCCTGAAAAGGTGCATTTAAAATATGCTGAAAAGTTGACAAAAATCCATCACCGCTCTACACCCGACCCTGTTTTCTTATTTACTCGGGAAAGCATAACTCACAGACACATCAATATGTGTGGGTTGCAGAGGAATTGCAAACTGAGATTGATCTAACCATTTTTATCCACACTCTTCATATTCTGCTTACTTACGCAAGACTATATCACAGCCATACCAAAAAATGTGATTTGGGAAGAAAACGTTGATTGCATCTACGCAGCTTCATTCACATTTACCATTCGCACCTGTTACTCGTCTATGCTTCCCATGCTGCCCTCATGTAAACATGTCAGGCAGCAAAATGAAGCAAAACCGATTCTGCTTCTAACATCCTCATCCATATTTCCAATATTTCTCTTTCATTTTTCCTCTTACCTGCTTACGCTTAGCGTACAGTCAAAACAAAATGTGTGAGCCAGTTGACCAATGCCAACAACGTCCGCGTCACACACACACACAATAAACATATCTCCCACTCTATCTGTTTCGGCCTATATGTATAGCTGCTGAAGTGAAAAAGTTAAATACCTTCGTCTTTTCAATACGCCACAATGCATGCAAATTTTCTAGCTATGTATTATAAATATGATTACGGCTTTAATGTTTTTCTTATCCCCATACAATTCCTTCTCATCCTTCACTCAAGAAAAAAAAACTTGGTCCCCTTCGTACACGGAGCTCTTCGTCGGGATGCCACAAATTATTCTGTGCCATTCAAGGCTTTGAACTGGACAACCATGGGAGGTAAAAGCATAGTTTTTATTTCTGCCTAACATTGGGAATACAATGTAAATGCTATACAAAACAATTGTAATAGTCTGATGGTGCTAAAAATGGCATGCCTCGTAAACCCAGGAGTACACATTGTTAATATTATTGTTAAATGAAAATCGAAAGTACAAATTATGGAAAATTGGTGCAGGATTGAAGGATTAAGTGCTGAACTAAATATTAGGGTCATGTATGGTGTTTAGTATATGAAAGCAGCTAAGAGTGTGCAAGAGGTACCTTTCGATGCAGCAGGGAAGCATGAGAGAGTTCATGATTCTCTGTCAGACTTCTGCTGGATCCAGCGGTGGTAACGATGTCGGAGGAACTAGATGAGTCCAGTGAAGAACTTGGGGCGCGGCCAATGGATTTCGAATTACCCATTTCTGCAGAAGGATGTATGAGAAGCATGGAGCGTTCGCGCTGAAACTGGAGCGAGGGCGAAGGGGTCGAAAGCCGCGAGACAACTGCCGTATCGTGAGACACATGAACTGCATTGGCCGCTGAGTGAATTAGATTCATAAAGGCAGAGGGGCGCCTGCTATAGCCCTCCGAAAGGCTTAAAGTCGAAGAGCGCAGAGACGGGGCTCGCAGAACATCCGTTATGTGTGTTAGATACAGTGTGTCACGCTTGGCCAATGACTTTGGAACGAGTACAGGACGTTTGAAATCGACCGAATCACTTCCAGTCAAAAGAAAGCTTGTAGATTCTCCATCACATTTGGTGTGCTTCGGACGAAGAATTTGAACTACGTGAGCGGGATAGACGGACAGGAATAAAAAGTAATACTTATGTGGGTGTTATCTCAGACAGTGACAATCAGTGACGACGAAACGGCATGACCAATGCAATCAATGAGGCCGAAAGGGAATTGGGGCAATGAAACATACGTGTGGTGGAATAAGGAGAGTCTTAACTACATTTCTGAGCACATGAAAAGTAGATTAAGTTATGATATGCGCTTAGATTGGACAGAATAGCCAATCCTAAAAAGTGACGAGCTTCGTGAACTGTAAGTAACAATGATCACGCGGCTAAAAAGAGGGTTGCCGGTAGGGAACTCTATTGCATAGAAAAAGGGAATTATCGCAAGAATTTAGCAATGGATGATTTCCACCAATTGACAAATCCATAGAATCACATAGAAAGATAAGACACGATAACCACACATAAAACTGATGGTGAGGTTTCACGAAAAGGCTTCAAAAGGCCACATCGACTTCATATTATCCGCCTTGGTAGTGCACGAATCATAAAGATATGAAACTGAAGAAACAAGAAAACGAAGAACGTGATAACACTACTAGTGTCAAAACTTGTGGTGGAAGGTTCGATGTCATTGAGGCAGAAATGAAAAGATAAAGGTGGGTATGGTTCAGTCATCTGGAGCCGACTTACGTGCGTCGCGGATCCGAGCCAGATGACCAGCCGTCAGCAGAGCTAAATGGGCAGAAAAGGACAAAGGTTGACAAAACTACCAATTGGATTCGGCTTAGTTGCGTAGCTATGCATCCATGCACTGAAATGCGGTGGACCCAATCATCTGGATTCAAATTGCCAAACTAACAGCGGTATTGAAAGTAATAATAATAACAGTAACAATTAAATAGTAAAAATGATGAAGGAGGAGTGAACAATAATTTAAATCGCCAAGAGTCCGAAATGCCGGAACAATACGGGGCCGGCCCACATCCGACAAGGTGTCCTTAGGGACTCATCCAAAAAGACGACAAACACCAGCCTGAGGGAGTCTCGCCATGAGTCTACTTATGCAGTTGTGACAAGTCGGCGACGAACCCGCTTCTCGATGGTTCATCAAACCAGGGACAATAATTGCGTTTTAATTCTGCGTACTAAGACGAAACCCCTGGAATTGTTAAGGTACGGTGGTACAGCAATCGTCAACCAGTTAACATCCCTGTTCCAGAAGAGCTAGCAAGAATAAAGAGTACCCTCTTCTTTTTGAGAGTAAGTGATTGTCCCAAGCTTAAAGGAAGGTTCTCGTACTTTTTACACCAATCACATCGGTTGCCTCCAAAATAAGAGCATCCAGCATGCTTCGCAAGCTAGCATCAGCACGTGAGACACACTACCGGGTGGAGAAGGATGGTTTTCCTCCCGGTCGATGTGTGGATCAAATATTCACGTTTCGTCAGCCTCTGGGACATCGGCATTTCTATTGCAGACCCACTGTCGTCACCATCCTGGACATTCTAGTTGTACTCGAGTTAAAAGACAGGGCACTTTATGACGATACCTGGTAAAAAATGGAGTTCTCGAAAAATACGCCGCTATATTTCGAGCCCTATACCTCCATACTTTAGACAGAGTGAGAGCCTACGGTGAGTTTTCCGCGCCCTTCTCTGTCACCATTGGTGTGCGACAAGATTGCTTTGCATTTCCATTTCTCTACAACATTGTGATCGAAGACGTCATGTTGGGAGCTTCAGAAGGGCTGCAGTGTTTATTGCATCGAGCCCATTCCAGATAATCGCGGAACAGACTTGGATCATGCTGACAACATCACCTTGTTCAGTGACGATTCTCATGGTATGCAAGTGATCCTTGATCAACTAGCGGTTGAAGCATCTAAGTATGGTATGTGCTTTGCCACTTCCAAGCTTAAAACGCTGTTACAAAATTGGAAGCGCATCTTCCTCAGGTCACCATCGAAACCATGCAGCACCACCACCACACGGGTAATTTCGTCTACCAAGGGAGCTAAATTGCTGCTAACGGCACTATTGGAAAGGAGTTATTCCTTCGCATTATGAAAGCCCAGTCGACATTTACCAAATTAAGGCATCTGTGGTGTCGTCGTGACATTTCGTTCTCGTAAGAGTGGAGTCTACAATGCCGTGTTCGCGCGATCCTGTTGTATGGATGCGAATTTCGGCCGATCCGTGTAGATCAAATGCACAAGTGTTCGGATTTCGACAATGGCTCCTTACGGACGATGGCCCGTGAACGGTGGCACCACCGAGTGGACAATGATGATGCCAGACACCGAGTCTTGGGCAACACGGGTCTTCTCCTCTGTGAGTCTGTTTTGCTATCCTGTTGAGATGGGTTAGCCATGTCCTACCTATGCCCAACTATTGTTCAGCACACCACGCCGTATTTGTACTCGCAAGGCCGCATGGAAGAAAACCGCCTATTTGGCAACAAAAAATATGAGAACATTGACATCTTGCTTAGCTATCGCTAGTGCAATACGTCCATTCCGTTGGGGATGCATAGATGAGGAAAGCCAAGGAACATACAACGCTTGAAGCAATGACGCAAAACCGGATGCGGTAAAAGCAATGTACGCAAGTTTGTGTGGATTCCAAACTTCGAAACAAAACCCTTAAAAAGTCAAAAAAGCAAAATGGCGTATGAAAAACACAAAATATTACTGGCTTCTCCGCACTTTTGGTTATCTCGCCCACATTTTGTTCAGGTGACTAAGGTATATATATATATATATATATATATATATATATATATATATATATATATATATATATATATATATATATATATATATATATATATATATATAGGCATCGTATATATGTTATCGTACTGCCCAACGTCAGACGATGGAGTGAAGGTATCAGTAATACACCGGCACACTATACTGGCGCTTCGCTATCACGCGGATAGTGATAGGTAGCCCGCTAGCCTGTGGGTTACAACAATCGGCCACATGGCGAAGGTGTCGAACCTAGGTACTGTTCACTCAATGCCCCGACCAGACATGGAGGATAGGCATTCGCAAGCACCAATGGTCAGGTATTGTTTGCGGTATTCAGCGACAAGGTCTCTAATGCAAAAAGCAACACTAGTCGCAAGGCAGCGTTATTAACCCTTCTTTTCATCAAAAGACATCATATCGTCGAACAATGTCTCACTCGAGCACAAAGGCAGGGAAGTGAGGATAAAAGGGAAAAATACGAGCGATGTTGGAGAAACAAGACACAATAGAACAAGTGGTGGGTAGGGGGTAGAGTTGTCACTGTGCGCAAACTATAAACAGCACAAGATCTTTTGGGAAATAGTAAACGAAGGAATAAAAAAACGTACAGGATCTTGTATTAGTTGTAGACGCGCTCGTTGCGGTGGATAAACTGGGCGACGAAAGTGAAAAAGAAATAGGGGAGAGGCATAGTCGAAGAGGGGCTGAACGAAAGTCCGTATTCGCCGAAACGATGGCTAACAAATGTAGCCGAATTCCCCACGGAGATGAAAATACCGCAAACGCTATGTGGAATAAGGTTTCAGATATCGACCAAATGAAGAGATTTTAATACATATATATCAAACAGTGAATCATAAAGCGAGGCTAGTTGGAATGAAGTCAAAACACCCCTGATGTGGGGCTGTGAGGAGTGGTAGCGAGTTTGAGAGCAGGAGCTAAACAAGAGTGGAAACAATAAGAAATCGGTGTTTAGCAAACTGACGGAATATCGTCAGGTGTAGGAAGCGAATGAATTAGACAGAACAAAACGCAAGGCGCAGTGTTGGACTCATGTCCTAACATCACGCTCATCGATTATTTGGGATACCACTGTGACTTACCTGTACTATTAATGTTTTCATCAACACCGACAATGGTGCACAAGCAATATGGATTCATATTTCGCTGACATACACAACCACGGTGTCCAGAGAAAATAAGAGTGTAAACCTTAAGTGGACATTCTGGCGCAATGCGCTTACACTATGCGATTACCACACGGAACAAACGGTTAGTGGCATCAGGAGACTAATTCTCTGTGACCTTTACTCTAACGCAACTTAATCAGCATTAATGCACAAATATCTGAGCAACGAACGGACTTCAGAAAGGCACCACTTGTGCTGGTCACGTTCTCTAAAGTCTACAGCTAAGCACAAGATGGGTCGCATAGACTTCAGCATGGAAGGTGAGACGAACGAAGAAGACCATGTTTGATCGGCAGTGACTTCATTCTCCGCTGCCAAATGGGCATTTGACTCCTCACCGATTCATAAACCAACCGGGGAATAAAACAAGACTCTCTCGGCAAGTGGTGGGAGGGCATACGAAATAATTGACCAAGTAACCTGGTCAAGATTATCAGTTGCTAATCAGGTCTGACCAAGTCTCTCCCACAAGTAATGCAGGGTAAGTGCAGTTTTTGGCACATCGCCCCTACGGTATTTTAAGGTTTAGGACCTGACCAACTCAACGATGTGACAGTGGGGATAGGGCCACCGTCAGCTTGGTAAATATGGAGCGTCACATGTGATGGTAATCGACGCTTGTAAAATGCGGCTCGTAGCTGGTGCGAGAATCGATTGAGTAATGCCAACAGTCTACTTCTTTATGGGCAGCCGATTGACTGTATGGACGAGGTCGCCTCTCTCTCTCTCTTGGGGCCGATTCATCTCCTGTACAAGCGCATTTGTATAGATGAAGATGTTCACTGCGCTCTGACTTGTGCTTCGTTTGATTCAAATGAAAGAGATCATTTCAAGCTTAGGGCGCTCCCAGCCATCATCGAACAGCCACTGGTAGAGTTGTCCATCGATTCACCTACCATGATAATTGTATCACTCTAGGTGGTCACACGGTTGAGGAGGTTACTTCACTCACCAGTAAAGCCCATGTGATTCTGCAAAACCTTTGTCATTTATGGGGACTGGAGTATCAGTCAAAGGTAAGGCGTTGAACGCTGCAGTAAAAGCAATATTGCTGTATAGACCTGAAGTTTTATCACTTTACAGAAGACACTACCAGACTGGTTGCCGTTGATTACTAACGCTTGTGCTGCTCTCATCTGGCCAGTATCGGATGAGCGATATTGAAAACCGATAGTTGGCGTTTGGAAAGAAATCCTCTGGTGCCCCACAGTGGTAGCAACTATAGTTGAGACGCTAAGTTCTTCGTACGCCCATGAATCGTCTTCCTTGGCATAAAGCTAAGGAGAAGCAAACCGAAAGGCGGTCCGGTTGATGCGTGCCCCTCTTCGTGTGTGGAATGGACCATATCAGTTGCCAGTGACTTCAGTTTACGGATGACCAAAAGTAGGTACTACTGCACTAATAGTCAGTAGTATAGGACTACAAGAAAATCAGGCTTTAACGGACAAACAGCGGACCACATCGACTGCTCAACCGCAGAAAAACGGTTGGATAGAAAAAAAAGCGAGCGCCAAGAACGTGAGTAGAACGACTGGTGGTTCGAGATGGTTGATGGTATATGCCAATAAATAAGTACGTTCGCACCTTTGATTTTTACAAACTGACATGGATTAGTTATGGGGTTAGCTATGCATTCGGTTTCTTGCAGCAAGCAGTTAACATCCAACCCAAACAAAATTGGTTCACAGTTTCCCGCAACATTCGCGTTCAGCCTCAGTTGTTGCTACTAATAACTGTTCGAACGGTGAGGCGATTTTTGGCAAGTGGATCCATCGAATTTCTGTGACCAG